CAAGCACCGTCAGGAGTGACCAGGAATAACGGTCACAAGCTGGCAGAGGTTTAGGTTAGACATCAGGAGGAGCTAATTTCACAGTCAGGGCAGCTAGGGTCTGGAACCAACTTCCAAGAGAGGTGGTGCAGGCTCCTACCCTGGGGGTTTTTAAGAGGAGGTTAGATGAACACCTTGCTGGGGTTGTTTGACCCCAGTCCTCTTTCCTGGCATGGCAGGGGGTTGGACTAGATGATCTGCTCAGGTCCCTTCCGACCCTAGCAACTATGAAACTATGAAGAATTTGAAGTACATTAAAAATTGTTTGCAGAGCACCCCTAAAAGATAAACTCAGTATAGGAGAAATAACATTCCAGTCATTTCTATAAAACCATACACGAAGCGTGCTCTTTTACCAGAAGAAGTGACAAGTCTTTGGCTTTGGACACAACATGTTTACTCCGAAGTTACTTACAGCATTTTTGTACGCTTACCCACATTACATCAGGATTATGAGTGGACAGGTGCATAAGGGTAGCTGCACCTTTCAATGACATGTTTGGGAGAGCAAACAACAAACTTGCTGACCTTAAGCAAGCAGCTACCTTGGGATAAACTATTGGCAGACAACCCCAGTATAACTTACAACAGTAAGATTTTCCCTGTGATTTTTGGCAGGGTCATTCATATCAGATTCAGGGAATACCAGTCCTTCATGTCAAATGAAGTCAGCTTCACAATGCAATAAGAGGTTAACATTTAAAAACTGAACATTTCCATGATAGTTATTTAAATGAATAAACAAAAACTGAGAAGTTAGTTACAGGTTTTTACAACTTCACTACTACAAAATCAAAATCTTAAAGAGATTTAAATTTTTAACAAGAATATAGCAAATTCCCTAACGAAATCTTAAGTCATGATGGGACTACTTTTCTATAATTTTGCCTGTCAATTTTAACAAATAGCCATAGTTTGGCCCTTTGCTGCAAATTAAAAGAGCTTTACATTTGTACCTCCTATTTCTAGAAAAATAAAATTGCAACTGGGAAACAATACATATTCCCAACCAACATTAAAAAACAAACAAACAAACAGGATGCTTGTAGCAGCATTTTGTATTGTACTAGCCAACTGTTGCAAACCAGATGCATAGTAGGGCTGTGCGAAGCTTTGGTTGCCAATTCGATTTGGCAGAGATTCGGCCCGATTTGGTGGCTGAATCTCTGAATCCAAATCAGGAGATCCCTTAATCTCTCTGAATTGAATCAGAATCCTCCAAAATCAATTTGGAGAGATTTGGAAAGACTCAGCAATTCGGGCATAGACACAGCTTTAAATGTTTTTTCTACATACCTTAAGGTACTAGGCAGCTCATGAATGCTGCGATGCTGGGGTGAATGGAGCATCCCACAGGAGTGTGTGTGTGGGGGCGGGGGGGGGGGTTCCC